TCATATTGTCAACGGGCCTGGTCGGGCCTGCCCTGGGCTGCTGTCTAGTTTTATACTCTTATCAATGTGAATGTTAACATGTCAATGTGAACATTCACATTGTCAACAGGTCGGGCTGGGCCAACCCACGGGTCGTGGACGGGTTTCGGGCAGCTACGAGGCGCGTGCTAATTTTACACTCCTATCAATGTGAATGTTAACATGTCAATGTGAATATTCACATTGTCAACGGGCCGGGCCGGGCCCGCCCCGGGCTGCGGGCGGGCTTTTGGCCGCCCATGGGCCGCGGCTCAATTTTATACTCTTATCAATGTGAATGTTAACATGTCAATGTGAATATTCACATTGTCAATGGGCCGGACCGAGTCCGCCTCGGGCCGCCAATGGGCCGTAGGCGGGTTTCGCGCCGCCACGGGACGGAGGCCAACTTTATACTCCTATTAATGTGAATTTTAACATGTCAATGTGAATATTCACATTGTCAACGGGCCAGGCCCGCCCTGGCTCGCCGATGGGTTTCGGGCCGCCTACGGGCTAATTTACATTCCTACAAATATGAATTTTAAAATATAAATGTTCACATCATTAAATTGCTAATTGTTGAAAAAATATTTATAAGGCTATCAAAATTAAATATAAGGGCATAAGTGTCTAAGAAAATAGTGTAAATCAAGAAAATGGACTTTATGGAATAAAACTATACATACATGGGACTAAATGGGTTAAAAAATTCCTTCATGGACTTCTTGGGTTAAAACACTTCTAAATTGGACTTATCAATAAAAATCTCTTTTTTGAATTATAATGTGTGCAATTCTATTGTCATAAATAATAAATAATAAAAAATAAATATAAATATTTTAGATTTGAATAAACATATTTTTTAATTTATGTTTTAATTTTTTTTTTTTAAATATTTTGTTCAAACCAAATGTGTTTGAACTTTATGTTTTTCCAAAAATTAAACAAAACTAATTTATAAAGTTTTTATAAACATAAACAAAAAATGTACATGTTACCAAACGCTACCTAATGTATTTACACGCAATAATAAACTACCACTAATTACTAATTCTTGTCAAACAATAAATGCATAAAATGGAAAAACTAAATCAACATAATTTAAAAAACTTAATAATTCAATAAGATTTTATATTAAGATAAAATATTCCTAATCAATTAATTTAAAATAATAAAAATATAATATTATTAAATTTTCGTCCACATCATTCAGGCTTATGCCTGTCTTTCATTAGCAAGAAACAAAGGCTCCGTTTGGTTCGTTTTTGAAATTATAATTCCAATCAAAAAAATTTAATTTTTTTCAAAACTTATTATCATCAAACACACAATTTAAAATTCAATTTAAAAATTATTTTCAAAACTTATATTCAAATACACAACTCAAAACTATTCTCAAAACTCAAAATTAAATTTCAAAACTCTAATTTTAAAAAAAATTAAAATATTTTTTTATTTTGTCTTTTAAAATTATTTTTAAAATCATGATTTGAATGTGAAGTCGTGTTTTGAGTTATGAATTTTGAGTTGAGTTTTGAAAAATCAAAATTTGTTTGGTTATGAGTTTTGAAAATAATTTTAAGTTGTATTGAAATTTTTTTGGATTTGTTTTAAATATTTAAATATTTTCTTAATTTTTTTTAGAGTAAATATTTTATATTTTAAATGTTTATTTATTTAATGTGTACTATATTTCATACATTTGTATGTTGTAGAGGTTCAAATTATGTGTTTTGTTTTGAGTTTTGAAAATAATTTTTGAATTGAGTTTTAAGTTATATGTTTGGTTACAATTTGAGTTTGGAGTTGTATTTTAAATTAAAATATTTACAAAATAAAATTTAAAAATATTTAAATAAAAGTTATATATTTAAAATAAAAAAAATTCTTAAATATTTTTAATATTTAAAAAAATAAATCTCAAAATATAGCTCAAAATTCAAAAACTAAAAACTCAAAATACAGCTCAAAACTCTTTTTAAAATATTTTTTAAAACTCTTTTCAAAATTTATAACTAAATAAATTTTCTCTTTTCAAAACTTAACTCATAATTCCATACTCAAATTATAATTTCAAAACGAGACACAAAACACAGACCATATATTCATATTCCATACTCAAAT